TGCATGTTGTCTCCTGTATTAGATTATAAACTCCATGGAGGCAGGGACTGTCTTTTTCCTCTTTTTGTACCTCTAGCACTTAGTACAATGCTGGCACACAGTAGGCTCTTGATGTTTATTGCACTGAATCGAAATATACTTGTTGTCAGTAATTTATGATGCTATTTACTTACTCTCCATTGTGAATTCTTTCTCATTTTTAATTTTGGTAACTTGGTTTTCCTTTTTCTCTCCTGTGTAACCAAATTACTTAATTGGTTTGTCTTTTTTACTGGTCATTTTTCAAAATGGCTTCTTTTATTCATCTCAATAGTCTTTCTGTTTTAAATTTTATCTCCTTTCATTTTCAGGATTTGTACTTTTATACTTATTAGAAGATTATTAAGACTTTCATTTTCTGTCTTTGTATGTACATCCTGAGCTTTGCATGGTGACTTTCATATGAAAGTTGCAAAATGAATTTTTTTTTTAATGTTAAGCTTCAAGCCAGTTTTTACAATCTCCTCTTTCAACCTCATGAAGAGGCTTCTTAATTCTTTTTCAATTTCTGCCATCAGAGTGGTGCCATCTGCATATCTGAGATTGTAGATATTTCTACCATTAGAGCAGTACAAAGTGCTATGGGGGGGCCCATGGGAAGGAAAGATCACATCTGGTGACTGATCAGGTAAAGCTTTGTGGAAGACAAGGCATTGGAATTGGACTTCCAAGAATGGGTTGGCCAGCAGAAATTGCAGAGAGGTCATGTTGAGTCAAAGGACAGAATGAGCCAGGCAGTCAACCATTTAGGGCATGGAACAGCCATAGGGTACATTGATGGTTTTTGACAGAAGGCTGGAAAAGTATGCCTTTGATGCCGGACTACATTTGGATTTGATTCTGTTGAAAACGAGAAGCTATTGAAGATTTTTGAGTAAAGACTAATAGGATAGGTTGTAATAAAGCATGCCAGTGTAAGAAAGGGGCTCCAGATTTGGAGCCAAAGGGCCAGAGTTTGAATCTTGGCTTAATTTCTATGGGCCTCAGTTTCCTCATCTGTAAAATCAGGGGGTTTAACTAGACTGGGGGTTCTTTTCTTGCGGTTCTAACTTTTTAAAACTGTGATAACTAACATTATTCTCAGGGGTGGTCCATTGGCTCTCCCAGACTGCCAAAGGGGGGCCATGACATAGAAAAGCTAAGATCTCTGAGCTAAATTATGACCTTTGAGGGCCCTTTCTTGTATAAACCTGTGACTTTATAATGAATTCTAAGCCTGCTGTGGTCCACCATACCATGAATGACCTCTCTGCAGCCCTTGACACTGTTGATCATGTTCTCTGCCTTGATACTCTCTTCTCTCTGATTTTTGGGATACCACTCTCTCCTGGTATCTGACTATCCTTGTCTGTCTCTCCCTTCAGATGACGCCCTCTGTGATGTCACTGAACTGTAGCTGTTCCTCAGAGTTCTAATTCTAAGCCCTCTACTCTTCTCCCTCTAGACTACTCCACTTGGTGATGTCATCAGCTCCCATGGACTTAATTAATTACTTAATTACTATGTTGCTGATTCTCAAATCTATCTATCCTCCTATCTCTCTGCTGACCTCCAATCTCACACCTCTGGCTGCCTTTCAGCTGTCTCAAAGTGGCTATCCAGTAGAAATCTTAAACTCAATTATGTCCAAAACAGAACTCATTATCTTCCCCACAAACCCTTTCCCTTCCTATCTTCCCTATTGCTGGAGAGTGCAACACCATCCTCTCAATCCCTCAGGCTCAAACCCAGGAGTTATCCTGAACTCCTCACTCTTTTTCACCCCCCCCCGAAATTCAATTTCTTGCCAAAGCTTGTGGACACTTTTTCAACATCTCTTGAATTCCTCCATTTGGTGTTCAAAGCCCTTCACAACCTAGCTCCCTCCTACCTACCTAGTTTTCTCACACCTTACTCCATGCACTCTTCAAGCCAGCTACACTGGCCTCCTGGCCATTCCATGAAGACGCTACACCTCTTGATCTTGGGCATTTTCTCTGGTTGTCCTCCAGTGTTCTCCTTCCTTATCTCTATCTCTGGCCTCCCCTTAAGGCCAAGCTAAAATCCTCTCTTCTGCAGGAAGCCTTTCCCAACACCTCTTAATTGCAGTGTCTTTTGTTTGCTTTCTAAGTCTCCTATATATAGCTTGTTTGTATATATTTGTTTGCTTACTGCCTTCCCCATTAGATGATGAGCTTCTTGACTGCAGAGACTGTTTTTTTCCTCTTTGTATCCCTGGCATTTAGCACAAGGCATGGAACATACTACGTGATTAATAAATGTTTGCTGACTGACATAAGGTAGGGCAAAGAGTTGTCCAGGGAAGTGAAGCCTCCCTAGACTAGACTCTAGACCTTGGGTCCAGTTCTGTACTGCTCCCCCTCCCCCAGGGCAAGAGGGGCCTTTCCCAGCAATCCCTCAAGCTTCCTGGGCTACAGGACTGCTGCACCCCGTCTTTCTGCTGGTTCAGCTGTTCCAGGGTTTTTCCTGGGGAGATATTTTCTGGGATGCTGAGAGCTACTTCTTACTCCACCATCTTGGCCGGGTGTTCCTTAAGAGAAGCGGAAAAGTCTGGAGTTAAGAGTAGGTTAAAGGTGGAGGGAGCTATAGGACAGTTTTTATCCATGCTGAGTTTGAGGTGCTGGTGAGAGATATCCAAGTAGAAATCATTCAAATGTTTCTACTTGGCCACAGAATAGCAAGTTATGTCTTTCCCCAGCATCTGTTACCTTCCTAATTATGTTAGCTTAAATCATTATTACAATGAGTTTACATTCCCTAAACACACATAGATTGTCAGGAGGAAAGAAATTGAGAAGAGTGTGGAGGTGGTTACATGAATTTAGCTAAGAGGATCAGTTCTATTTTAGATAACTGGGGTGGATAATTTATTTGTGATCTTTTAAAAAAATTATAACAATGGTAAAACATTTACATAGCATTTCAAGGTTAACACAGTAGTATGTGTGTGTAAGTGTGTGTATATGTGCGTTCTCAGCCTGTTACCCCGGCCTCATCTGTCCTGTTCTTCCACTGGACATGACCAAGGACAGGTGAGTTCTTTGTCTTAGACAAGCTGCTTGTACAATAGTAAGATCTTTGAGCTGTTCCTGACATCTTCCTTCCCAGGGTTACATCTCATGCCTCATACTTGATCTTTTAAAAACTGAAAGCCCTGCTGGTGCCTTAGGAAATGCTCTGGATTTATGCCTCCCAAGGGGAGATCCATTGGACCTTTGCTTGTGGGAACTGGTAATCTTCTTTTCCTGTTTCAGAATGAAGTTGTAAAAAAAAAAAGCATTTTTCAAAATCTTACATTTAGAGCAAGAGGGACCCAGGACAACCTTGTTTTATAGCCAGAGGGATGCAGTTAACATCATGGGAGATGCAAAACTACAAATCTTATCTCCCAGAAAAAAGTGGAGAAGTCTGAAGCAGCTTGTATCATCATGGCAGACCTGAACCCTCTGGTCAGAGGGGGAACTAGGTATAGAAGGTGAGATGACATGGCATAGCAGATGCACTTTTCTGGACTAGGAAGACCTGAACTTTAACCAGGTTTTAGACACCTACTAGCTATGTGACTCTGGGGCAAGTCATTTAGCCACATTCAGCCTCAGTTTCCACATCTGTAAAATGGACTGAGAGACTCAAATGATAAAAAGCCTGTAAAATGCTTTGCGAACCTTATAGCCTATTTTAAGTCAGCTGTTATTATTATTATCCTTGGGTAAGCAGGGGAGGAGAGGGCAAAGGAAGAAATCCGAAGCTCTGGAGCACGCCCAAGACAAGTATATATTCTAACCCTAAAAAATTGCCCAGAGTTTCAGTTCAGGGAGCGGTTGCCCTGGGAGAGTCTCGGGGTGAGGCAGGCGTAGAATCTGTGAGATCAAACCGTGGTCTAGGGTGGAACTTGGATGATTTGAGTGGCAGGGACATTTAAAAAAAAATTCTGGACCCCATTCCTCTTCTTTGGGCCATGGAGTGACAGACAGGTGGGGAGTTGTCACAAGCTCTAGGTACCACCTAGGTGGTTCACAGGCATCTAGGCAGGTTCTGTGAACTGTTAAATGCTTTCAGGCCAGTTCATTTCAGATTAGGGTATGGAAACATGCCCATGAATGTTAAGCAAATACCGCTTAGACATCTGCCAACCCTCTTTTCTTTTTGCTTTATAGTGAGGCAATTGGGTTAAGTGACTTGCCCAGGGTCACACAGCTAGTAAGTGTGGAGGCTGGATTTGAACTCTGGTCCTCCTGACTCCAAGGCCAGAGCTCTATCCACTGCACCACATAGCTGCTCCCCAGGCCTCTTTTCTAAAATCATAAACTCTAATTCCTGATTCAGAAATTTACTAGTAAACACTAGTGTGACCATCCCCCCAAGTCACTTAAACTTTGTGACTCAGTCTCTTCATCTGCAAAATGGGTACTATAGTTGCCCCAACCTCCCAGAGATCAAACTAATTTAAATGTGTGCTTTACCCAAGTTAAGAGGGCCAAGTTAAAGCTGGCCATTGTTATTATCATCATTATTATTATTGGCCACAAACACGTAAGCTTGTGTAAAAGCTATTATGTAAATAGCCCTGCAGTCAGACAAAGGAACACTAGGCTCATACGGCCCCGGAGGCTTGTTTCGAATCCAGATCTCCAGGGCATACGTCACGGTCTTCCCACCACGTGACCGTAGGGAGGGGGGCTGGGCTCCGCGGGCCGAAGGTAGGGAAGTGCAAGGGTAGGGGAGCCCCGCCCCGCCACTGGCTCTCCCTGGGTGAGACCTGCCCTACGTGCTCACAGAATTAAGGGTGGGAGGGGCGGGAGGCGGGCCTCGGCGCACGTAAACCCCCCTCGGCCCCGCCCTTCCCCTCCCCCCGGGCGCGCTCCGGCCCCGCCCCGCCCCAAGCGCCGCGGCCCCCCGCCGTTCCCCGCCCCCTCTGCGCCCGGGCTGCCCTCGCTGCTGCCTGATCGCCGTCCCCGCGCCCTCCGGGTATTTGGGACGCCGACGCAGAGGCGGCCTTCGCCGAGCGGGAGTGGCGGGTTTTCGGGCCGCGGGAGGGAAGTCTTCCGGCGGTCGGAGCAGTCGGAGGGCGGCCGCGGTTAGGAGCCGGCGCGGGAGACAGCCGCGGGGGGCCGCGGCGGGGTCCTGGCGGGCGGAACTGCGGTGTCTCCTTCACTTCGCCCTCCAGCCGCTACAGCTACCCCCCGGGCCCGAGTGCGGCGATCGGCCCGAGCAGCGAGCGGAACGCCGGCGGCCCCAACCCGACCTCCAGGTATGGCTGCCCCGCCCCGGGCCCGCCCGGGCCCAGCCCGGAGTCACCGCAGCCTACGGCCCCCGGGCCGCGCCGGGCCCGGGCGGGGCCCCTCCAAGATGGCCGCGCCGGCTGGGGGGCGTGAGCGGCCTGAGGCGCCCCGGGCCGCGGCCACACGCCCACTCTTCCCGGCCCCGCCCCGCTCCCCCGGGTCGCGCTGACACTGCTTCTCGCGTTCTTCCCCGCAGGTCAGCCCTCTCCTCGCCCTCGCCATGTCGTACCTGGACGAGTATCAGCGTCAGTGTAAGTGGGGCTGGGCCGGGGGCTGGGCGGGCTCCGCGGGGCGGCGTGGGGCCGGCCGGGGGCCTGTTCCTGGCAGAGTCCGGGACGAGGGCACGGCCGGAAGCGCTTTGGAGCAGGCGAGCCCGGGGCTTCTTAATTCGGAGTCGCCGAACGCGGCCGTGCCTCCTTACCCTGGGTATTAACCCTCGAGGGGGGCCCCAGGCCGACACCCCGGTCTCCGGGGGTGCAGGAGGCACCGGTGGACCCGGAAGCGGCCCCCTTCCTAGCGCCGCCAGCGGGGTCTGGGGTCTGCGAAGGGGCGAGGGGGGAGAGGGATGGATGCCTGCGGAGGGAGGGCAGACCAAGGCCCCGGCTCTGTCACGTGTCGGGTAATGCTGCTTAGGGGAAAACGGAAGGCTCGTGGGGAAAACCTGTGGGGTTTGTTTTTTAAGTTAAACTTGCATGAGTTAGTGAAGAGATGCATAGGCTTGTGATACACGAGGAATTTTTCTGTAAGAAACTGAAAGTCCACCTTGTGAGAGAACAAGGTCATGCAGTGTCGGAGGAAGGGCGTGGAAACTGCTTTGTGGAATGAATGAATGAATGAATGAATGAATGAATGGGCAGGTCTTAAGTGCTTAGATTTCCTGCCGGAGGGTCGGCTGTAGTGAATTTAGTCATCACCATTAACTCTTCAAAGTGAAACTGAGTTGATCTTCTCTAAATATCGATGTTTAAAGTCACCTGAATAGTCATTGTCTGTCTTTTCTATCTGCCATCTATTTCCCTTCTTCCCTCAACCTTGTTTGAGCTAAGCCAGGTAAGGGAGTTGGATAAACCTCCTATTTAAGATTTACTCTTTATTATTTTGTTGAAACCATGCAGAGTTTTGTGGTGCTTTTAACTCACTGTGTAGCAGTGCACCTGGAAGTAGAAAAATAACAGTAAATATATACTAAATATAGGAACTTGCACATCCATAATAACTTCTGAGGAATTTTCAACGTTTTTGGTAGTTACCTTAAACCCCTGTATTTTGAAATAAGGTATGGTTTGAGAACAATGAGCAGCCCCCAGGTTCAGTCGAATTAGTATTTTAAAACTTGAACAATATTTATTTGGGCGGAAAAACCTGAAGAACTAAATTTGCAATGGAATATATGAATGGTTGTTTTTTTTTTCCAAGAGCCAGTACCAAGTTAACCATCACTTAGGTTTACTGCTTCTGTATATTCTATGTGCAGGAATTGGATGGAAGAAAGAAAAGAACTAATACTATTTGTTTTTTTTTTTCTACCAGCAATGTGTATTCCTCCGTCGTATGCTGATCTTGGCAAAGCTGCCAAAGACATTTTCAACAAAGGATTTGGTAAGAACTTAATTTAAAACATAAAGTGATGAATCCCTATATACTTATATTTTTTTTAAAAAAGTGAACTATATAATGATCTAAAGAATTTTCACAAATTATCCTATTTTCTTATCTCTACTATGAAGTATCCATTAATAACAACCTTCCTGCTACCCTGTCAGATTAAAAAAAACCCCAACCAATATGTGTGCTATTCTCTTTTACCTTCAAGTCCAGATATTTAATTTTTTTTTCTCCAAATATACAACTTGCCAAATAAACCATGTTGAGCTCTATCCTGAAATTTTTCCTTCTCTTTTAGGCCAGGTCTGATTTTATAGATCAAACTTTTTAGAATTGTGGACTCTTAACCACTCTTGACTTTAGGAAAGTTAGTAATGAAGGCTTCTTACAGTAAAGTAAATTTTTCTTTGAAAATTCATGACTCCTCTGGTCAGTTAGACACTCTAGAATTAGGCAAAATTCTACATTTAGAATGGATGTCTGTACTGTAAATAAACTATAATCTACCTCAAGGTTAAAATTGAGTTAAATGGTTGTTTTCTGTATGTAAGAAAGCGCTTTTGTGCCAATGCTATAGAAAAACATTAGTCTTGTCATAAAAATGTTAGTTTAATACTTCAAGTAGATATATTTGGTGTGAGTGCTTTTGTCACAAATTACAACCCCTTCATGCCTTCCTAGATAGACAGTATGTGAATGGCTGAGGCCAGAAGAGTTATTACCCAGGTGGTTAATCTGATGATGACCCCTCTCTACCGTTTGGCTTGCTGGTCCTTATTGGACAAATACTGTAGTCAATTCCAAGCCTTTCCAGCTTGGTAGCGCATGTTAGAGCTTGCATTTTGCTGACAAAGCCTTGGAGACCCTAGGGTCACTGACATACTACAATGAGCCATCAGACACAATAGGATTTTTGAGCAGGTATTTATCAATTCCACCAGTCCAGTGCAGTTATAGCAAAAGTTAACTGAAATGTTATATATTGCCAGCAAACATTTGAATACCTATGGAATATGCATGAATTCTTTGTTTTTAACCATTGACTTTGCTGGGTAGGTGATTCATGATTTAATAAGTAAATCTATTCTTGTACTTATTTTATACAACCTAGAATATTTTTATGATTCTTTTTTTCAAACTTATTGTTAAGGTTTTGGGTTGGTGAAACTGGATGTGAAAACAAAATCCTGCAGTGGAGTGGTAAGTGTTTATTACATATCTAATTGTTGATATATGTTTATATCATATAGCAACCCTAAAATGATTTATCTGAATCTTTTTCCTGCCAAAGCAGAGGCAGAAATGTTTTCTTTGCTTGATTTCTCTTGAGATTGGATATGATTTCTAATTTGCGGAGTTGGACTTTTGCCATTTCCCGTCCATATATCTAAAGCTCTCCATTACTTTTAAAATTATGTTACTCCAATTAAGATTGCTAACTCCTCCAGGTTAGACATTGTGTTATAAACTACTTTTGTTGTCTCCCTTCCCCCTTCCCCACTCCTGTGTTGGGCAAATAGATGCTTAATAAGTACTTGTTAATTTGAGTAGGCTATTTTTTGATACACATGTGGAAAAGCCCTGTTTTGGCTCTAGTCTGTGGGGAAGATTTAATATCCAAATGAATTTACAGAAATATACGTTTTGGTGGGTTAGAGATCTAGTTTAATTTATGTTTTTTTAAAATTTTTATGTTTTTAGGTAGTTAGTATTAAGTGACTTGCCCAGGGTCACACAGCTAGTAAGTGTCAAGTGTCTGGTCAGAGACCGGATTTGAACTCAGGTCCTCCTGGCTTCAGGGCCAATGCTCTATCCACTGCCCACCTAGCTGCCCCAATTCATGCTTTTTTTAAAGAAACATTTTGGCTAATAGAATAAGGGCTTTTAATCTGCAGAACTATTTAAGAAGGGAAATCTGAGCATTTAGTTTTGAAGGTGGTTTTCCTCACTTCAAGAAATTAAGCTTTTGGTCAGTATTGCTTGTGGCAAAATTTATTTGTTAGATTGGTATGTTGGTGACCGGTCAAAGACCTTTCAGGGCTTTGGTTTTCTTGTCTGTGAAGAGAGGAGGTTGGACTTGATGATTCCTAAGGTTCCTTCTAATTTTAATGCCTATGAATAGGTATTTGTATGGATATGTGCAATATTTCCTGGTTGAATGAGTTCCTGTCAGTGGATAATTAGCCCTTTGGAAATAATTATCACCTATACTGATTATTCTTCAGTTTCAGATTTGTTCTGAAATTTTTTTCTTGGACTGAACAATATCAATAGCTAGTTCCTGCTTTCTGTCTAATTTGTAACAAATTTAATGTTCTTTAATCGCAAGAGTCCAAGGACCATCCTGGGCATATGAGGTTTTGTGTGAGCTATGTGGTCAGTTAAGCACAATGCTGATAATCTTGGTATGAATAACCAAGAATTGGGAGTACAGGATGTGCAACTATAATTTTGGTTTTCCAAAGGTAGAAAGTGATTGTTTTGCACTAGAGGTTTTTGAGTTTTATTTTGCTGCGTGATGATGAGCAGTTTAGTGTAGTGGACAGTATACTAGGTTTGGAGTCACAGGACCTGGGTTGAAATTCTTGCTTTCCTATGTGATATTGAAAAAATAATTTAACCTCCCAGGGCCTCCCTTCCCGTTGTCTTGCCTCCTACTGCATTACAGGGCTTTTTTTCTATGGAAAGTGTCCTCAGATTGGCAGCCCCACAAGTTAGGATAAATTTCAAGTCAGCTGAAAAATGTTAACTTCAAATTCATGTTACTTAAAACAAACCAGTTAGCATTTATTAAATATCTATTGTATGTTTGCCAAAATAAACACGATATTTTAGAGGAAGTGAAAAGAAACAGAAAACAGCCTCTACCCTTAAGCTAGTAGCAGAAATAAGGAGTACAAATATGAAGCTATAAAAAACCAATTTATTTTGATAGGATGGAAAGAACACTGCACTCAAAGACCTGGGTTTATGTGAATCTTGACTGACGTTTGGTTCTTTGACTTTTGATCTCATTAAGTTAAGGCTTACTTGTTTGTAAAATGGAGGCAGTAGTACCTTATATAGAGTTTTGAGGAAAGCAATTTGAGGAAAGTAAAACTTGAAAGTCCTACACAAATGAGTTATTGTTGGGATCCTGTGCTGTAGTGAGTAAAGAAAGACAAGTGCCCTAGGCAAAGAAAATCTCATTGAGGGGTGGAATTAGCTCATCATTGCTGGATGGATGGCTTCTCTGAGGAAGTATGGGACTTGGAGCTTGAAGGAAGTATTTACTCTAGATTATTTTACTGTATTTTTTGTTTCAATATGGATGAGTCACTAGCTAGCTGCCTTTTTTCTCTCTGGGTTACCTGACCAACAAAAATGTGCTGTGGAAGGAAGCTGGATTGGATTGTGAGAAGGGAAGCTTGTCAGTGTTTCTTGGATCCCTATGGCTTTTTGTTCAGGGTCTTTAAGGTGCACTGATGAACTGACTTGGTGAATGAGATTGCTGTGGGAATTAAGAGAATCTAAGACTCTCCATTCATATACTGTCTCAAATTTGAATTTGCACTGTAAGTATTATCTTAGGGTAAGAGGGAGTGTGATGATACCTGTTCATTTTTTAAGTGCCATGAACTTCTGGTCTGAAAAATGGGATAAATTTAAATTCATACCCACAGTTAAAATCAGTGATGTCACACTCACACAGAAAGGAGGGCCACTAATTAGTGTGGAAATATCCCTTCGCTTGCATATTGACTTGATTATAAAATGTAGCATAACCTATGTTTTACTGTATCTTATTTATTTTGTTAAATATTTCCCAGTTACATTTAAATCTGGTTTGGGCCAGGTTAGGGAGTGTTGTGGGCTGCAATAGGGCCAGTTTTTGATCCCTCTTGTTTAAAATCAGTATAAGGAGGCAGAGATAGGTAGAGTATGATGTGTAGTGGACAGAGTGCTAAATTTAAGAAGGCCTTGGTCAGGTCCCCTACCTCTGCCAGTAGCTCTGTGACCATAGACAAGTCACATAACTTCTGAGCCTCAGTTTCCTCATCTGTAAAAATGAAAAGGATTGGACTAGATAGGTTCTAAGATCCCTCCCTGCTCTAGATCTGTGATCCTGTGAAGTAATATAGCCTAAGGATTATGTGCTTAAAAACATGCCCAGGACTCTCCATCAACAATTCAGCAAAGAATTAGCAAGTCTCTACTGTGTGCAAGGCAGAGGCAGCTGGGTGTCAGTAGAGTACTAAGTTTGGAATCAGAGATGCCCAGATGTGGATCTTTCCTTACCAGCCTGGAGACCCTGAGGAAATTGCCTCAGGCAACTCCCCAGGACTTTTCTACTTAGTTGCCTGTTGGTAGCTTGAGTTACCTCTTGTAGTAGTAAAAGCACAGATCTTTGCGTATTCTGGAATGTGTAAAACATTGGCTGAAAGGAGGTAATATTTGTAAAGCCCTGACTGGCTCACAGGAGTAGACCCTCAATAAATGGAACAACAATCCCTGTCATGAAGCTGATTACATTTTCAATATGCTTTCATTTGACCTAGCAGTCATTCCAAAAGACCTCCTGTCTTTTTTACCTGTCACTGTCAAAGTCCTACCTGCCTTAACTTCCTCACCACCTTGCAGTCTGACCTCTGACCCCACCACTACACCGAAACTGTTCTCAAAGGTTGTTAGCCATTTCAACTGCTAAATCACATGACCTTTTCTCAGTGCCGTTTTCTTGGTTTTTCTCCATCTGTTGACTACTTATTCCTAGATATCATTTCCTACCTTGGTTTCTGTGACATACCACTCCTGTCTGGCTGCTGCATCTCATTTTCTGCTAGATCATCCTTCTCCCTGGATGAGTGGTTCCCCAAGACTCTGTTTTGAGGTGTTGTGTCTTAATCCTTCTCTTGGGGATCTTGTCTACTGCCACAAATTCAATTATCATTCGTTCAGATAACTCCCAAATCCAAAAATCTTGGCCTAATCTCTCTTTGCAGCTCCATTTCTCATTTATACATTTCCCAAACAGAATTTAACCTCTTTCCCTCAAAATTAAAACCTCACACCTCCAGACATTGCTATTTGGCTATTTAAAAAACTTAATCTGAACTAAAATGATTATTTCCATATATAAACAGAAAAAGGTTTATTAAAATTTTGAGTTTCTATTAAGTACAGTTTTCACTTTAAGTATATCACCATGAAAGCTTAAAACTGAACTAAGATTTTTTGGGACACTCTAAAATGAATTCAACATGTAGTTTTCAAAGCTGCTCTGATTGTCGATATCATGCTTCACTGATGCTCCGTTCCTTTCCTCACTCTTTTCCCTCCCTCCCTTCCTGCCTATCTCCTGACTCCTCCATTCATTTGGGGGGGAAAATAACAGCAAAACTTTTATAGCATAGACACCTATCAAAGAAAACATTCCTATGTTGACTGTGTCCGAAAATATTTCACTCTGTACCTTGAATTTATCACCTCTGTCAGGAGGACTAGCATTATTCATCATCAGGCCTCTGGAATTGTGGTTGATTTTATGATGATCAGAGTTCATACAGAGTGACTCTTTGTTGAGGGCTGTCTTCCTTCCAGTTACTTAGGTTTGTTACTTCACCTCATCCCTCTATCCAATCTGTTTACAACTTGATTCATCAATTTAGAGTCTAAAAGGATCTCGGCCATCCTCTAGTCCTATTCCTCAATTTATTGGTGAGACCCAGAGCAATTCATATAGAAGATTACACCAGAAATAAGTAGTATTGTCAGGATCGAATTTTGAGTTCTTGGATTCCTAGTCTAGAACCCTTTCCACTATTACTGGGCTGCTCCCCTCAGTCCTCTTGTCTGCACTCACATGTCTACCACCCTGCCATCAGGACCTCATTACTTTGTTCCTCCACTGCGGTATTAGCTTCCTAACAATTCTTTTCTTTTGGTCTCTTTCCTTTGCACACAACTACCACAATAATGTTTCTAAGACACCAAATACTCTGTCCATATCAGTTATCCACTCTGAAAACATTCAACAGCTTTCCATTGCCTCCAGGATAATAGACAACATCCTTAGTCTGTCCCTATCCTACCTTTCCCACCATTTTTCACATTACTTCTCCTTATATACACTCCATTCTATCCAGAGACCACTAGTGTTCCCTAAACTCAGCATTCCAGGTCCCAGTTCTGTGCATTTGCAAAAGCTTTCTTCCCTTTTTTTTTTTTGCTTTTTGGTGAGGCAATTGGGGTTAAGTGACTTGCCCAGGGTCACACAGCTAGTGTCAAATGTCTGAGGCTGGATTTGAACTCAAGTCCTCCTGACTCCAAGGCTGGATCTCTTATCCACTGCACCACCTAGTTGCCCCACCCTTTTGCATTTTTGAGACAGCCAGGTTGTACAATGGATAGAATGCTGGAAATGGGTTCAGGAAGACCTGAGTTCTAATCCAGACTCAGACACAAAGCTGTGTGACTCAGGGCAAGTCACTTACTCTCTGCTTGCCTCAGTTTCCTCATCTTTAGAACTGGGGACAATAAAACCACCTAATTCTCAAGATTGTTGGGATAAAATGAGATAATATTTGTAAAGTACTTTTGCAAACCTTCAGGTGTTGTAGAAATGCTTCCTATTGCTTTTATTAGCTAATATTTTGTCTCAGAATCCTTATATTCCTTAGAGACCCAGTTCCACTGTGAGGGCTTCCCTTCTGGGATTATTTCATTCATTGTTTTTGTTTCTCACAGTGCCTAGCAGAGTGCCATAATAGGTACTTAATAAATACTTGTTAATTGATTATCCCTTCCAGTTGCTGTGTTCTTTTTGTACTCAGAATCTTTTATTTACTTCTGTATATATTGTCTCAGTGGAACATAAGTTTCTTGAAGACAGAGAAAGTTTCCTTTCAGTCTCTGTATGCCCAGAACCTAATGATGCTTTTGTCACATTTTGTTGTTCAGTCATGTCTCTTTGTGTCCCCATGGGCTTATCCATGGAGTTTTCTTGGCAAAGGTTGGAGTGGTGCCGTTTCCTTCTAGTGTGTCCTCATTTTTGGAGGAACTGAAGCAAATAGGACTTTCCCAGGTGGACTCAAACAGTGAACGTTTCAGTCACAGAAAGGGGTTGTTGGTAGCCCCACATTCCCTACTTCTGGCCCATCATGTGGTTCCCCACACCTCTACCTCTGTAACCCCATGTTGTCATCAGCCCCATGCTACCTACTCTCTTCTGTGCTTCCCTAAAATCTATAAAAGGGGGAGTCACTGGCTAGAAAATGAGGCAGCCATTGATCCCTTTATTAATAGGTTTAGGACCCTCTTATAAAACTTAACTTGCTCAGAGAAAGGTGCCTTGGTTTAATTTCACTTGTGACAATGCCTGAGATGTTGTAGAAGTACAATCAACACACAAGATTTGAAAATGAAGAGAAAAGAGAAAGATCAAAATGAGGACTCTCTTGTATCCACCTGTGTCCTGCAGTGGTAATAGAATTCCTTGAGGCAAGAGTAGAACAGTGATTAGCAACAGAACTGAATTTCTAAACTTGACCCTTTACAAGCCAGCTGAATTCTGAACTGAGTTCAGAAACAGCAACCATGACTTAAACAATTGTAGGACAAAATCAGCTAATTGTAAATAGGATCAATAAAAAATGATACATAATCAGTTTAATCTTCTCAGTATCTGTCTCCTCCTCTCCATTCACAGTCACTGCACTGGTTCATGGCTTCATCCCTTCAGTCCTAAACTCCTGGGAGTAGTCTCCTAAGCATTTATCTGACCTGTTTCTCTTCTCTGCCAATCTGTTTTCCACAGTTGCTAAAGTAATTTCCAAAAGGCAGAGGTTGTAGAAGTGTAGTAGCTGACATTTGTATAGCATCTTAAAACTTACAAAGTGCTTTCTGGGCTTTATTATCACTTCCATTTTACAGATGAGGAAATTGAGGATTAGAGAGATTAAGTGACTTGCATTTAGCCACACAGTTAGAAATGTCAGAAGGGGAATTTGAACCCATTTGTTTTCTCCAGGTCCGGTGCTCATGTTCACTATATATCATGCTGATCTTGTGTATCACTCCCTTATTCAAAATAATCTGCGATACCCTGTTGTCTCTAAGATAAAATACAAATGCCTCAGCTTGGCATTTTTCTTTCTTTTTTTTTAAAAGATATTTTGTTGATTCTGTTTTCGTATCAATATTCATTTCCAAATATTTCCTTCTTTTTTCCCTACCTGGGAGATTGTCCCTTATAATAAAGATTAAAAATGAAAGAAAAGGAGTAAAAGCATTTCAGCAAAACCAGCCAATACAGTGACCACATCTGACAGTATTTGCTGTATTCTCTATCTCTAGTGTCTGTCCCACTTCTGCATTAACTCTTCTGCCTGCCATTTAAGGCCTTCCATAGCCGACTCCAGTCGACCTTTTCATTCTTACTTGACAGTGCACCACTTCACAGACTTTGTGTTATCACATAGACTGTACTACTGTTTTATACCTCCCTCTGTCCATTATCACAGGCCTATTCCCCATTCCTGGAAGGTACTCTTTGAGCCTCTCAGAATCTTCTTCCGTCAAGTTTCATCTCAGGAGGTTCATCTTCCATGTAAGGAGAAAGTGTTCTCTCCTCATTTCCTAGACTCAGTTTTTTCCATTGTGCCTGTCATTCCTTACACCTACTAATATTTTAATGTATTTTTTTTCTTGTGTACCTCTCACCCACCTGCTGTAGAATTTCAGTTCCTCAAGGACAGTGACAGGGTAAGAAATCATAACATTTTGCACGGCTTCTTAACAGAGTAGGCACTTAAATGTGCTTGTCAGTTGATTGAAGTAGTATTCATTTTAGTGACTGTCCAAACTAAAGACTGAGGAATGTGAATATGATAATATAAGTAGGAATTTTCTCGGGTGCTATTTTAAATTATCTATACCATTGCTCCCATCCATTAATATGAAATAAATTATCTTTTTAATCGTGATGTAAAAACCAGTTGGAAAGGTTTGTTTTTCATTGTACTGAAGTACTTCATTGAATCTGTAATCTGACTAGTGTGCATTTCGTCTGTATATCTCGTTCTTATGATTATCGTCCAATCCTTTCATAGATCCCTGTAGTAGGAGACTGCTTAGGGGTCTCTTAACGTTCAAGCTGCTCATCTTTTATCTTTCACTTGCTACAGGACCACAGCCAGTCTTGATTTCAGGACCATATATCTCTTTTGATATCTTTTATGCCATTTCTTGTGCATAATTTGTTGTTGATAATACGGTGCTATTTGTTGGTGCTCATTATGAGTCTTTCCATTATTCTTTGTGTGACCTGTAATTAGAAAGACTGCAGCATTATAAGATTATATTATAGCTACATGGTATCATTGGAAAAATTGGTTTTAAAACGTGAGTTTTTTATTATAGGGAGAAGCGTGGGTTTTTTAATTGTACCTACAAGTGAACAAATGCCTTTATTATTAGTGGGTGTTTAAAACAATATAGAGAAGTCTTGAGTCCCTATTTTGAATATGAGAAGGTGATAGAATAACTGAATGGCAAAGAAGATAGACTTTAAACTCCTAAATATCATTTAGTCCAACACCCTCACTTTACACGTGATAACACGGAGTCCAAGGAAGGAATATCTTCATCTAGAAATAATTTTGATAGCAAGAAAATAATATATATTATTTCCTATGTTGAATTATTTAATGATTACTGACAAAATCGTTGGTGAAGCTCAGAAAAGGATTTGGATTCCATATTATAGTAATAGTATTTGAGGATTATTAATTTTTCATAGCAGAAATGTTCTGTTATCAGTAGCACTCAGTTATACTTCTCTGTGTATCTGTATCTCCATATACTTTTTTTTTTGCAAGGCAGTCAGGGTTAAGTGACTTGCCCGGGGTCACACAGCTAGTGGCCAGACTGAGCCACCTAGCTGCCCTCCATATACTTATATTTGAAGATAGCTATAAACGTATTTATATGTATCTCTTGATGTATAGGTATAATATGTATACATACTGCTACATGTTAAAAACAAAAAGGGGAGATGCTTAGATTTCTTTCTCCTTTACAATTAATGTTTATGTTATAACATGTAGTTAGTTAACTGGTTAGAAGTTCTAGAAATAATTGGCAGCCAGTTACTTGAAAGTTAATCTGGGGGCAGCTAGGTGGCACAGTGGATAGAGCTCTAGCCTTGGAGTCAGGAAGATCTGTATTCAAATTTGGCCTCAGACACTTGACGTTTACTAGCTGTGTGACCCTGGGCAAGTCACTTAACCCTGATTGCCTCACCATAAAAGGAAAGAAAAAAAAAAAGGAAAGTTTATCTGGCAGTTCTTTGTGCCCTTAAAATATGGTTTAGCAAATTAATACAAGGTATAAAAAAAAAAAAGGAGGTAATGCTCAAGCTGTTAGGGTAAAAAGGTGAGAAGACAAAGTACACTACCATTTAGGTTTTTATTTTTAATTAAGCAGCTTACTCCTAGGTATGGCAAGTTCATGAAAAGAATTTACTGTCTTAATAGGAATTCTCATCATCGGGTTCATCTAATACAGACACTGGTAAAGTTAGTGGGACTTTGGAGACCAAATATAAATGGTGTGAGTATGGTCTGACTTTCACAGAAAAATGGAACACTGATAACACTCTGGGAACCGAAATCGCAATTGAAGATCAGGTAACAGACAATTTACATCTTTTTAGTGTGTCTAAGTTATGTTTATTCTTTATTTGCAAAACCACATGAATCTGAGTTAGTTCCTTTTCTCCCTTCAAAATAGATTTGTCAAGGTTTGAAGCTGACATTTGATACTACCTTCTCACCAAACACAGGGTAACTATGTGTGTTTTCTTGTTTTTTGAATTAAAAATAGTATGTTAAAAATGCACTTTAAATTCATGATAAATTGCTCATCTGCCAAAGTGGAAAACCATTGTTCTTCTCCTTAAGTTACAACTACTTAGTATCATTGGCCTGAATCAAAGTTTGTGCCTGATTTTTGATACGGTGCTAATTTTGTATATGCTTACAAGAAGCTTTTTTGATTCTCTTGTTACCTCTACTTAAAAAAAATCCTTCCCAATAGTGAGAAGTCTCATTATTATTATTAGAAACCTTACTTTGTGAGCTCTTTGAAGTCAGGGATCATCTTTTGTCCTTCTTTGTATCTTCAGCTCTAACCCTGTTCTTGTAACACAATCGGCAATTAATAAATGTTTGTTGGTTGACTTGACCTAACCCCCTAGCAGTAGGGGTCCTCTTTTGCTCTGCTTCGATTCACTTCACTGAGCTTGATTATAATACGGGTATTCAGCTTATCTTCTCATCGATCAGTTACATTTCAAGTAGTTAAAACTTTAAATAATTTTTTGTCCTTTTTTCATGTTTCTAATAATGTTGTTTGCATATGTGAGAGTTTACAGTGGAATAAATTTTGGATCTGTTCTTTTTCCAGAAAGAAAAGCGGAAAAATAAAGTCTGCTTATAAACGGGAGTGTATAAACCTTGGCTGTGACATTGACTTTGATTTTGCTGGACCTGCGATTCATGGGTCAGCCGTTTTTGGTTATGAAGGCTGGCTTGCTGGCTACCAGATGACCTTCGATAGTGCGAAGTCAAAGTTAACAAGGAATAACTTTGCAGTGGGCTACAGGACTGGAGACTTCCAACTGCACACTAATGTGTAAGTATTTCCTTAGGGTGTTTTATTCACACATCTTCACTCTTCATTCATTCAAGGCAGTTGGAGTTAAGTGGCTTGCCCAGGGTCACACAGCTAGTAAGTGTTATGTGTCTGAGGCTGGATTTGAACTCAGGTCCTCCAGAATCCAGGGCTGGTGCTCTATCCACTGCGCCACCTAGCTGCCCCTATTCACACATCTTTAAAAAGAGTGGTGTGGCATAGCAGACAGAGCCGAGAGCTTGCATTAAGTCCCAGGTCTGAGCACACACAGCTGCGACCCATGGTAAGTCACTTAACCTCTGAGTGCTGGAGGTAACCTCATAATCTTTAAGTTGCAGAGGAGGTGATGACTCACATTGGGAGAGGGTGTTTCCTCACTTGGAAGTCCCGTATTCAATGAAATCACACCAATCCAATATTTGTCCCTATCCTTAAAAAAAATAAAAAATAAAACTTTTCTAGTCACACAGAGTACTCACTTTTTCATCATTTGCTATTTGTACAAATCTCCATAAAGTGAGGTGGCTCTTCTGGTTGGGTTTAACATATAAAGAAGGCAGGACAAAAAAATCTAAATTCAGATTCAGTGCTGAAAGAAGAAATGCTCTTTTCATCTTAAGCTTTGGCTTCCCAGGAGTGGCTAATTCTGCCACCCTGCTACATTTCACTTGACTGAAATCTCATTGTGTTTTCCATTTGTGATAGGAAAATGCAGACCAGTGATAAGACATTTGTAAGAAAGTTTGCTGTCATTTTCTGGTATGTCTTAAGGATATGACAGAGAGAACTTTTCCTACTTTGTTGTACCTAATAAGACTGCCACCCACTTCTGGTTCTTGTGGCCACAAACCATAGTGCCAGAGAGAGCATTGGGAAAGAGCAGTTGCTTTTGGGCGAAAACTGAAACCCTTCAGGAGCATAGCAGTGTTTTCATCATTAATGCTGATGCTTCAAAGGAAAGGGCTTATGAGAAAATGCAAATTTGGGAAGTGAATTACCTGGTTAAGAAGTTGAGTTTCTGAGAACAGAATTTAGACTTCTGAGTTTCAGCTTAAAATATATGAAAAATGTGGTCTTAGCTAGAGACAGAATGCACCTAGCAAGGACAGGCAAAATGAATTGCCCTGGAGTCATACAAATCTAATGAAGCTCTTTTTTGAGGCAATCAGGGTTAAGTGATGACTTGCTCAGTCACACAGCTAAAAAGTGCCTGACACTGTCTAATGAAGCTTTTAAGCTGAAAGGAGACAAAAAATCTTCTTGCCTATCTCCACCCAGCTAAATGCCAGAGGAGATAGAACGGAGCTTTAGAGGTGGCCTTTGCAGGAGAGATTGGGAGGGGGCAGTGTCAAGAAAAGAATTCTCAAGATACCAGATGAAAGCTTCTAATGAGGAAAAAGAGACTGCAAGGATGTCATTCACCAAGTTAGGTTTTTAAAAGATGCCCAGAAGACAGAAGCAAGGGTAGGGAACAGGATGAATCTAAAAATGACATGGCCTGTGAGGTTGGTGTCATAGGCACTAAGTAAAGGACAAAACTATTTGAGGCTGATGAGAAGAGCTCAAGATAACAAAAAGTAATTCTCAACTTTATTTTAGCTGTGTTGAGAGAACGAGGATCAAAGCAGGGACAGAATTAGGGCTCCATGAGTAATGGGAAAATTATCGTCGATAATGGAGAGAAGGAAGAACTACTCAACCCTTTGTTTCCATTTTCTCTTCCAAAGAGAATCTGATGGCTAAATGGGGCATTGAAACTTGAGCCAAAGACATAGTGTGATGGTAAGGAGCATCTAGGTGATTTGGGTAGATTTAGGTCCCTAGGCTCAGGTGCTCAGTCTCTCTCTTCTTAGTACTTCTCACAATACTCAAAGAACTGGTAGATGTGATACTGATCATTCGTTGTCAGTGATTTTGTAAAGATTGTGATGTGAGCTTCCTCAGAGGTTTTCACGTAAAACGTGGGTGAGCGTTTGCTTAGTTATAAAGGGGATTCTTTCAGATACGAGTTGGAGTGGATGGCGACCTCCGAGGTTCCTTCCAACTCTGAGATTTGATGGTAGATGTTTTTCAGTTAGCTTGACAAAACTTTTGCACCAGAAATAGAAATTTATTTTCTACTCAAACATAACATTTTTAATAAATGCTTTTAAATTGTTTATTAAAGCACTAGTATGCATTTTAACTCTTTTGCTTTATTGTTAAATAGCCTTATGTAAAAATTTTCTTGGTTGTGTATTTAATAGTCAAATATATCCAGAGAGCACAGTCTTATACTTAAAAATGGTTGTAGCATTTGTCTCAGATGCACTTAAAACTGATGTCTGTTCTTTGGACTGGGGCAGTGGCAGTGAGTAGTGTCTTATCTTCAAAATGTTAAATAATGTGAAAATCATTTTGCAGCAACGATGGAACAGAATTTGGAGGTTCAATTTATCAGAAAGTGTGTGATGATCTCGATACTTCTGTAAACCTAGCTTGGACATCAGGCACCAACTGCACTCGTTTTGGCATCGCAGCTAAATATCAGCTGGATTCCACTGCTTCAATTTCTGTAAGTAATATTATGGGGCAGGTTTAAATGTGGGATTTTTTTTTGGGGGGGGAGCTTAGAATTCTCAGTTAGACTGAGTTTTTCTTGAGGTAATAATGCAAAGTGTTTGTTTTTAATTACAGCATAAGGAGCCCTCAAGTTAGAAACTAGTTGTGTTCCAAAAGTTCACTTGAAATTCAGAATTTATTTTTCCTTAGAGACAGTATTACTTTTCCTGACTAACCTTTTTATAATGTAGCTAAAGTAATACTAGTATTATTGTAATAATACAATAATATTCATTGATGTTATTTATTATAATACTAGAAGTAGCTGTGAGCCTTGGGGAGGGATGGGTGTGTGTGTGTGTGTGTGTGTGTGTGTGTGTGTGTGTGTGTGTGTGTGTGTGTGTGTGTGTGTGTGTGTATGTCTCTCTGTCTCTGTCTCTCTGTCTCTCTCTGTGTTTCAGTGGCTGAACAGCTCCAACAATAAACAGGTGCCTTTCATTAGCTGGAATTCACCAGGGAATGATTGCTCTAGGAGTGAAATAGTTCATGTCATCTGAATGAATTGTTTCTAATAGTAAAATTGCCCAATGACAGTGAATGGTAGTAATTTATCAAGTTTTAGCTGATCTTATTTCAGACTTACTCTGCTCTAATAACACAAGAGACAGGAGACCTAAGACTTCAGGAAAAAGAAATTAATAATTTTCTAGAGTGAATAGTGTGTGTGTTTTTAGTTCATAGGGTAATTGAACTATGTCTTACTATTTCTCTAAATAGTAAATATTATTTCCCATTATATTCTCCATTACACAGCAGTAGAAACCTTAGAACTTGATTAAGATAAGGTAGTCAAATGCTGTTGTCCTCCTGTGTCACCACGACATGTCAAAATTAACATGAAAGACAGTTCCCATTTTGATACCTAGCCTGGACAAATCCAAGTATATGGTATAACTTATGCCCTGTGGGGTGACTCCTGAGGTTCATGGTGGTCTCTTTAGCTTTGTTCTTTTTGTTTTCTTTATGAAGATTTAAAATTTTTTTTTCTAGTTTAAAACTTAGGCCTATTCCATGGTTCCCACGGTACTGATTTTGCTGAATGATTATCTGATCTAAATGAGAAGATTTTTAAAAAAAATACTGGTGTAGTAAAATTTTACCTCATAAAGAAAGCTAGACTTTTTTAGATGGATGTGCTTATACAGGGTTCAATTTTTGTATTTAGTCTTCTAGTGGGACTTGGCTGTTGGAAGGGGAGGGCTCAGTTTCTAATGTTCTTTCTAGTTTTTAAGATTGTACAGTTGAGCAGAAAAATCAAACCCGTTTGTGGTAGACTTCTCTTCTGGGGCACACTTGTGAACAGGTAGATAGAACAGCTGTTCTGTGCGATGTGTGAATACAAACTGAGTGATGTCAGGTGAACTAAGCACTTGCAAGTCCAGCCTGCTTTTCATCTGAATCAGTGAGAACCGATTTTTTGTTAAGTTTGGCTTAGCACCCAAACCTGTTTGGGGATGTTGTGAAATGACTAAAAAGAAGGGATATTTTTCCATTTCTAATTTCTCACAGCTGCTTTTTTTTTCTAGGCAAAAGTCAACAATTCTAGTTTAATTGGTGTGGGTTATACTCAGACTCTGAGGCCTGGTAAGTTTTCTTATTTGATAAACTTTGGTAACAAGTTTACAAATCCTGTTTTCTGACTATTTTAGGATTCTTAGCAGCATACTGTTCTGATATCTTTGTACATTAACCATGTTGATGCATTTTTTACCAACTTTAATCTAAATTACCATAATATTTGTAAATTTTTCTTCTCATAAATGTTTAAAAACAGCATAGTACCTACTCTGCCTTATTTTGTGGAGATAATTCTGCTCTGGTGGTTAGTGTAAACCTTCACAGTTTCTCGTAAGCTGGAAAGTCTTTGAATATGGACCTAGTGTTGGAACCGAGTACAGAGAGACTCTTTGCCATGTTAGCTGTTGTACAGTGTATTTTTTGGCTACAGCAACTCTTTATAGGTTGTCTAGAAGGTGCCTTTAGTTTCTTAACTGGTTTCACATTTGCTGTGGTCTCACACCCTTTTTCTTTTCTTTTTTTTTTTTTTTTGCAGTCTTAACCCTGTAATTAGCCAGTTTAGCTGCACACTGTCATTCTTTCAAATCCCTTACTCCTTGTCCTGTTAGCACTCTTGCTTTGCCGAGTCCTAACCCTGGGTTATCCCTGTGTACCTAATTACCTTGCTGCTTGGTCGTTGATGCTGGAGGAAATATCCAGATGGATCCAGTCACAATTTACCTAATCTCAATTTTGCTCTTATTACCACCAAATAATCTTTTTATTCTTCCCTAATTTGTTCCATCTTGTACCCCATGTAGCTGCTTTTCCAAACCTCTTTCTGCAAGCCTCCTTTGCTATTTCCCTCCCTCTCAGCAGAACACTTTGCCTTTTACTTTGCTGAGAAAATGGAGGCTATCCATGATGAGTTTCCTCTTCATCCATCATTCTTAACATCACTGAAATCTTTTAAGAGGTGACTCTCCTCATTCTCTCCTGAAGTTTACCCCTTTAATCTCAACATACTGACTCATTTTGCTGCCTACAGACATTTTTAGAGGGTCCCCCAGGTGTTTAAAAAGGCCTTGTTTGACCTTGCTGTACTTTCAGCTTTTCATCTTGTATTTTTCCTTTCAGCCAAAAGTTCAAGAAAAAGCTAACTTACCTTAACTTCCCCTCACTTTTCAACACCTTGCAGACTGGTGTATAACCTCTCCTGTTGACACGTATGATCTCAACAGTTGGTGTATAACTGAAGCTGTTGTCAAGGATTAAGTAATAGCTTTGATGTAAAATCTGATGACTTCTTCCCAATCCTTATCTTTCTTGACTTCTTTGTAGCCTTTGGTACTGTTCAGTTCTCTTCCTCAGTTTCTGTAACACTGCTCTCTCCTGGTTTCATTACTGCTTCTCAGTTTCTTTTGCCTGATCGTTATTATCCACGTCCTACCACGTATGGTTATCCTTCAAGGCTCTATCTCATCACTTTCAATGGGCTTCTTCATCACGTCCATGTAGATGATACTCCATATGGCTATCATGTCTAGAGGGAATTTGGTGAGGCCCAGATATCTGTCCTGATGTCCCATGGGCATCTCAAATTTAGTGTGTCCAAAACAACTCCTTATTTTTCTCCTGAACACCTCTCCTCCCTTTCCTAACTTGCCTATTTCTGTTACCCAGGTTTGAAACTTTAAAGTTGTTCTAAACATGTTCTTCCTCAGTTCCCCCTCTGATAACCATTCATTTGCTAAGGATTGTGTATCTGTCACCCACTGGATCTCTCAAATCCATCCCCTTCTGTCCATTCCCATGGCCACCATCCTAATTTAGGTTCTTGTCACTTCTTGCGAGGGTGATTTTAATAGCATCTTCATTAGGTTTCTGTCTAGTAGTCTCTCCTCTCTTTGATCCATTCTCCTTTTTTTTTTTAAAGGCAATTGGGGTGTTAAGTGACTTGCCCCGGGTCACACAGCTAGTAAGTGGCAAGTGTTTGGTCTGAGGCTGGATTTGAACTCCTGACTTTAGGGCTGGTGCTGTATCCACTGAGCCACCTAGCTGCCCCTCTCTGGTCCATTCTCTACATGGTACCAAAACAGTTTTCCTAAAGTATGAGTCTTGGGCATGGCATTTCAGGCCCTTCACAGTTTTTTTACTCTAGCCCACTCTTCCAGGCTTATTCCGCACAGTCTTATGTTCTTGCCAAACTGTTGTGCTTGCTGTTCCCTGAACTTGGCATCCCAGCTACTGCCTCCCTGTCCTTGGAGACACCTGCCTCTTAGATGATCCCTTGATTACTGGAGGGCTCCTCAGCTTTGTACCGTGAGAAAGAAGCCAGCTTGGATCTCTGGGTTTTCTTAGTGCTCTTTCCTTCCTGAAACCATTGTGCATACACACCTCCTTCTGTGTTTTATTCCTTTCCTGCCTTCCCCTAGTAGAATCTATGCTCCTTAAGGACAGGGCCCAGTTTTTGTTAAATCCAGCAGAGATCATACACTTAAATCTCTCTTGGATGGTAGAAGGAATGCCTGCCCTCACTGATGAAATCCAGTGCTCCAAATCGCCCTCTGGTGGCTTACGTTTGTATTCATTGCATTTAGAAAGTCTGTCTTGGCTGAATGAGAACTAAGAGAAAGAAGCTGAAGAGGGATAACCGGAGGAAGGAAATGGTGTCGGAAGTGTCATGTCTTTGTTCATGTCCTTGCAGGTGTGAAGCTTACGTTGTCTGCCCTGGTGGATGGGAAGAGCATCAATGCTGGAGGTCACAAGCTTGGGCTTGCCTTGGAATTGGAGGCTTAGTACAGTCGAAGAAACCTGTGGGGAAGGGATAGCTAGCAGAAGATTTGGCCTTAAAATATATTTCCAGTGTGACCAGCAGGCTTTTTTTTTTTCCTAAGAGGGATGATCTAAACAAGGGATGATCCAAACAAGAGCTGTATTTTAAATATTTAGACAGTTACTTGTTGGTCTCTAGTTAAATTGGTTATCTATCTAGTTACCAATGCTGCAGTAGTGCAGTCACCTATACATTATTTAAATGTATTTAACTGTTAAATGGCGCTACCCACCAATAATGAAATAGACCTTTATGAAAACTGTGCAATTGTGCGCATGTTTGTTTTTATGTTCCTTTTAACAAATTTGATAATACCATTGGATGAGATGGATCAGTGGATATTGAGACGAGGTACAAAAATTTTGTTAATTTACCATCATTAGAAATACTTTTGGCATTTCAGAACAATACAAATTATGAATAAAACAAATATGCATAATTGTGCCTCCAAATATTTGCAGAGTTAAAGCTTTGATAACTAGAGTCAGATGAGTCAATTTGCAAGCTTTCCCTTTGGTCTCCTTGTTGTCTAGGTTATAATTTATTTTTCCACAAGCTCTCAACTCATATCTGTGCCACAAGTCCTCTTTGCCCTTAGAGTAATCCCATAAATTTTTTTTAAGAATAAAATAATATGAGGATATATGGTTTTCAACTTTTTGGTTTTAAGTTTTTGCAAATTTTAAAGTGTATTATTGCTGGGATCTGAAGAAGGGGTGGAAAATAAGAGCAAACAACAGAGAAGGAAAGTTGAAGAAGTGGTCCTGAGTATCTAGCTCAGAAGAGTTGTATTGCACCTTACCTATACAGGATTGACTGTAAGGTATTGTCATTACAGGTATTTCCAAAGATGTACTAGGTGATTGAAAAGAGGGGTGGTTTGAACAGATAGGATGATTAGTAGTAACGTAGAGAAGATTTGAGCACAGTTTGATGGTAAGCATTGAATTTGGAGTCAGGACGTCGGGTCTACTGTGTGACCTTGACAAGGTCACTAGGTCTCAAGCATTAGAGTAAGTAACCACTGAGGCTGCCTCCCAAGTCTTATGATGCTTTATGTCACAGAGATTCCCAAACTTACTTGGTCCCCTTTGAAAAAATAATTACTCAGCACCCCTCTGGGTTTAGGTTAACTCTCAATTTTATTCAACGCCCCCCAGTTGCACCCGAGGCTACCACTGCCCCCCTGGGTTAGTCCAGCACCCCGCAGGGGGCGATATTGTCCACTTTGGGAACTTCTGCTTATGATAAGGCATCAGGATAGACTCGAATTCTGGGATGTGTGGATAAGGAGCAACCTAACTTGGGTATTTGAACCAAGCCTGGCAAGTTTCTACACTGAAGATTATTTACAGACAATGAGTGGGATGGATATATTGTTTTGGGTAGGGGTGCTCTCTATGGAGTAGTTGAGGCTCCTCACATTAGTGGGTGATCAGGCAGAAGAGGATGTGATAGAAGTCTGATAGTGCTCTTTTACTCTCTTGAAGAGAAGGAAGATGATGCTTTCTAAATCTTACTTTTCCACTTAAAGTGTAGAAAATCATAAAGGGCCTAGGGTTAAAATGTCTTTTTTTTTTTTTGGCTAGGCAGTGGGGTTAAGTGACTTGCCCAGGGTCACGCAGCTAGTAAGTGTAATGTGTCTGAGGCTGGATTTGAATTCTGGTCCTCCTTAATCCAGGGCTGGTCTTCTTTCCATTGTGCCACCTCGTTGCCCCTAAAATATCTTGTTCATGAACTCCCATAGTACAAGAACTTAAACACCTTGAAGCCTTAAGAAGTCATCAGAGGGGCAGCTAGGTGGCACAGTGGATAGAGCACTGCCCCTGGATTCAGGGGCACCTGAGTTCAAATCCAGCCTCAGACAGATAACAATTAACTAGCTGTGTGACTCTGGGCAAGTCACTTAACCCCATCGCCTAGCCAAAAAAAAAAAAAGTCATTGGAGGACAAATAAAAGATGTCCTGTTTACAGATAAGCATTAATCCAATAGGTGGAATGTGGGGAAAATAGAAAATGGTTTGATCTGTTAAGAGAGATCAAAGATAACACTGGTCTTTGTTATATTATTTCTCTTTTTCTTCTGCACCATCAGTTTTGGCATTTGTGAAGAAATTCAGCTTCGCTCCAGTAATAGCATTGGTCTGAAAAGAGTGGCCATTTCCAATACAGCATGTAAGGAACATTTCACAAAATACTGGCATCAACCATGAGGGGGAAGCTTTTTGCAGTGATTTAGGTGAAATAGACTAGGCCAGGGGGTGGTGAATCTGTGGCCCCCTAGGTCCTCAAGTGTGGCCCTTTGAATCCAGACTTCACACAAGTCCCCCTAATAAAAGGATTTATTCTATAAAACTTGGACTCAGTCAAAAGGCCACACCCAAGGACCCAGAAAGCCACATGTGGCCTTGATGCCGCAGGTTCTCCAACCCTGAACTAGGCTTTAAAAAATGATAGAAACCGATTGGAAGTGTCAGCAAGCCAGACAGGAAATGAGGCCAGTAGCTTTACCCTGCATGTTGAATCCAGGCAAGAGCCAAGTCCAGCAATATGGGGACGAATGCTCTAAGTGAAAAAAACCACCAGAAAGCTTTGACATATGGGCTTGTACAGGCTTGGGTAGGCATACAGCTTAGTCTCTAAATATATTTAGAGCAGTTGCAAACTTTTTGGTCTTAAAACTCAAAACTTAATGAGGCCACCCCAGCCCCGACTTGAACTTTTTGTTCTTTCTATTGATATTTACCATATTAAAAATTAAAATTGGGGGCAGCTATGTGATGCAGTGGATAGAGCACCGGCCTTGGATTCCTTAGTTCAAATTCAGCCTCAGACACGTAACACTAGTTGTGTGACCCTGGGCAAGTCACTTAACCCCTATTGCCCAGCGAAGGGCAACAAAAAAAATTAAAATGTCAACATTATGAAAGTGGTTTTGATCTTATGCACCCCAGATCCCTGGACCTTTTGAGAACCGCTGATATTTAGAATTTACACAATTAGGCAGACGCAAGTGAAAGTAAAGCAGTACACTATAAGCACTGCTGAAACGAAATCCCGTGTAATCTTTGCACACATATGTGCATATGTGAACACAGTGTTAAGTAGGGTAGACACTATAATAAGGAGGGTTCATTTTTACCTACCACCTGTAGAAAACCAGTAAGGGGTTTCTAAATAGAACTGCTGTCACATTTCCTTCCTGTGCAGTCAGCAAGCATTCACCATCTACTGTGTGCCAGGCACCTTGCTGATTACTGTGGAAGGCTAGAATAACTTCTCTGGGAGTTCAAGTGTTGACAAAATCCCATCCCTTAAGGGCTGTAAAGTCAACTGTCAGCGTGGAGGCAAGTCTACCTGTTTGTAAGGGGTTTTAGAGGTGATCTAATCCCAATCTCCTAGTTTTACACATTAGAAAATGAGCTTGGAGCTGTGAAGGGACTTGTCCGAGGTCACATAAGTAGTTAAGGCATAGCTCAGGTCAAATGCAAATTCCACATCAAGATGTCTAATGCCATCTAAGGATGAAGTATCTACACCCTGAAGATGTATGCAAATAAGCATGTCAATATTTAGGGATATTCTAGTTCCAAGGTGAGGGGCTTAAAACTATTTTTAGTTTTGAAGAAGGGTCTTAATTTTGGCTGTTTAATGCCAATCCTTCAGAAATAGTTCTAGGTAAAATGTGCCACCTTTGTGGAACTGGTTAACAACACTACAGGTATTTATGCCCCTCTTTTTTGGGGGGGAGGGGCAACTGGTGGTACAGTGGTACGTACGGCACTAAGCCTGGAGTCAGGAAGGTCTGGGAGTTCAACTCCAGCCTTGGACACTTACTGTGTGACCCTGGGCAGGTCACTTAACCACTTAAATCTCGGTTCCTCATCTATAAAATGGGGACGCACTGGAGAATGAAATGGCAAAGCCCTCCAGTATCTTTGCCAAGAAAACCCCATGCATGAGTCCATGGGGTCATGCAGATCATGGGCTCAGATACAATCGAACAAGTTTGAGCTTGGGGCTCCAAACTGCTCCAAACCAGGGGTGGGGAACCTGCAGTCTCAAGGCCACATGTGGCCTTCTAGGTCCTCAACTGTGGCCCTTATTTGGATTCAAAGGGCCACATTCGAGGACCCAGAGGGCTACATGTGGCCTCAAGGCTGGAGCTTGCTCACTCCTGCTCCAAACCTTTCTTTCCCTGCAACTGCTACTGGGGAATCTGAATGGCCACCCTATCTTGGCTACTGACTATAAATGCAGCCTCTGCTTGCAGTGTTTGCTGTCTTTTCTGCCTGCTACTTTGGGACAGGGAGAAAAACACCCAGGAGGCTCAGAGGGTCCCAGGTCCCAATTCCTCATTTTATTTATCCTTTTAAAAATGTGTCCATGAATGAGCTCAGGCCCCCAAACTCTTCCCCTCCCAACATACAGCACTGTCACCACCCGTTTCTTCCTGCCCTGATACTCTGGTCAGGTCCCCTAGATCTTGAAGGCCAAAGTGAGGCCATCTCCCAGGGGTAGGAGGCTGATGTGGACCCGAGAGTCCCTCAGGATTCGCTCATTGAGATCTTGGACACACTGAGTAGCCACGTCTCCCTTCTGTGGCTTGTTAAGCACTTCTCCGTTCCATAGGACCTAGGAGAGAGGAAAAGGACAAATGAGAAAAAAGGGCCCTATGAGACACTGGCAAAGGAATTTAGGACTGGAATACTGATTGACTTCACAAATGTTGGTTATGCCTCTACTGTATGCCTAGGCCCCAGAGATACAAAGACACAAAAAAAACCAGTCTTCACTCAAGGATCTATAGGGAACTTCCCAGGAATAAAGAGATATCAGGGGTATGTTGGATGGAACAAGACAAATTAAGCATTTTCATACCAAAAATCTGCCATGTATACGAATATTTTGGTTACCTTTTAGAGGAGCAGTTCTGAACAACTTGTGTTTTTTATTCTGAAAACGAAATTTCAATATAAATTCTAAAAAAAATTCTCAGAAAAAAATGCCATGAAATTGCATATTTTGTTTTGTTTTTTTGGTTACCAGAAGACCCAAGAGATCCAGAAAAATACAGGGGTCATTCAGAAGTATATTGAAACAATAACAAAAACAATAATGTTTTTCTTTGTATTTCTAATTCTTTGTCATTCTAATGTATCTTATTTTATGTATTTAAGAATATTTTTGGGGGGCAGCTAGGTGGCGGCAGTGGATAGAGCACCCACCCTGAAGTCAGGAGGACCTGAGTTAAAATCTGGCCTCAGACACATAACACTAGCTTTGTGACCCTGGGCAAGTCTCTTAATCCCATTGCCTAGCCAAAAAAAAAAAAAAAAGAATATTTTTCTGAGAATACTTAGGCAGGCTACCAAAGGGGTCCATGACACAATGTGGTCAAGAACCTCAGTTTTAGAGGAAAACATGGCTAGCAATGACATTTTAGTCACGCTGCCTGCCATTTCAGGAATCCGGCCTTAAGTAGATCACATGCCACCATCTGGATCAACTGCTTAGCCACTAGGGAAAGATAGGGTAAGTGTTATTTCTTCTGGCATGAAAGGCAAACAGATGGGGTGGGGAGGGTGTGAATAGCTAGGGCCAGAATGCAGATGGCCGAAATCCCAAGCTACATGGGGAGG